ATACATGCACGAAATATTGCATGCAAGAATTGATTTTACATGTTTTATTATTACTATGGATTCATGTATGTTGTATGGAGAGAGGGTAGAAGGAAATAGCACAGTGTCCAATAAACCCAACGCCTAAGTTGAATTCAGCAGTGAGTGACAATCTGAACCGGCCCAGGTATACTTCCTTTATCAACATCCAGTGTGAAGAATGGTCAAACAACCCGCGCAACTACCACGGCATGGGGAAACCTCCATCCAGAATGGTTGACAGAGAGCTGCACATTTTTATTATTTCTCGTCCTCTGACATGGGCATTAGCTCTTTGCATGATTCTTCCACATGCAAAATAGCTTTCCAGCGAGATATGTGTCAGCATAATTAGAATCACTGTGCATTGAGAAAGGTCTGAAGGAAAACATGGATTAATTAACTCCGATGAATTTTAAGAAAACATAGACTATATAGTGCCGTCATAAATGTGTGCGCGTGTGTGTGGTGCATGTTTTGGGGAGCAGTAGTGTAGCGGTTAGCGCGCTGGTACGAACCTAGTGACCCGAAATGGATTCCCGCTCACGGCCAACACCAGTGACGATTATCTGAACCGGTCCTGAGCTTCCCCTAGGTCGATTCAGCCTCAAATGAGTACCTGGTGTGGTGTGTAAACACCGCCACTGGGGAGACAAAGGCAGACGGGCGTGGTGCTGACCACCCACCACCCCTTTGTGTGCCGTGCCGGCCTTCATAGATGCTTGCTAACAACACTTGCCCCAACAGTATGTTATGACTATACGGGGGATCTTTGTCTTGTGTGTGTGTTTTCATGGTGTATGTTGTGTGTGTCACCCCCACCGCCGTGGTGATTCACTGTATTTTCTAGATCCAGGGTCACGATTCGATAAAAATGTAGATTTTTTTTTGACGTTGTGGAAAACGTAATGGCCATGAGTGGCTGCAGAGGTCACGTGAACTCATTACACACTACAACATTTAAAAATAAAATATTACCATATTATTTTTTTACACGCCTGCATAAATGCATGTGTCGTGCGCTTATGATAATATGTAAATGAAATCGTTCAATTGATTTAATCGATCTATCTTTACACCCGAATGGCATATGTAAAAAAGACACACACACACACACACCGCTCACCAACACGTCTGGTAGAACCATGCACTCTCGTTTCATTAAAATGTAAGAAAAAATGTAAACAAAAGTGATAATGCAGGAGAGCAGAAAAAACCTGGCAAAAGATGTTTGTTGGAATGTAGTATAAGTCACTGGAACGCTCGTATATACAGTGAGGGAAAAAAGTATTTGATCCCCTGCTGATTTTGTACGTTTGCCCACTGACAAAGAAATTATCAGTCTATAATTTTAAAGGTAGGTTTATTTGAACAGTGAGAAACATAACAACAAAATCGAGAAAAAAACGCATGTCAAAAATGTTATAAATTGATTTGCATTTTAATGAGGGAAATAAGTATTTGACCCCCGCTCAATCAGAAAGATTTCTGGCTCCCAGGTGTCTTTTATACAGATAACGAGCTGAGATTAGGAGCACACTCTTAAAGGGAGCGCTCCTAATCTCAGCTTGTTACCTGTATAAAAGACACCTGTCTACAGAAGCAATCAATCAATCAGATTACAAACTCTCCACCATGGTCAAGACCAAAGAGCTCTCCAAGGATGTCAGGGACAAGATTGTAGACCTACACAAGGCTGGAATGGGCTACAATACCATTGCCAAGCAGCTTGGTGAGAAGGTGACAACAGTTGGTGCGATTATCCGCAAATGGAAGAAACACAAACGAACTGTCAATCTCCTTCGGCCTGGGGCTCCATGCAAGATCTCACCTCGTGGAGTTGCAATAATCATGAGAACGGTGAGGAATGAGCCCAGAACTACACGGGAGGATCTTGTCAATGATCTCAAGGCAGCTGGGACCATAGTCACCAAGAAAACAATTAGTAACACACTACGCCGTGAAGGACTGAAATCCTGCAGCGCCCGCAAAGTCCCCTGCTCAAGAAAGCACATATACACGCCCGTCTGAAGTTTGCCAATGAACATCTGAATGATTCAGAGGACAACTGGGTGAAAGTGTTGTGGTCAGATGAGACCAAAATGGAGCTCTTTGGCATCAACTCAACTCACCGTGTTTGGAGGAAGAGGAATGCTGCCTATGACCCCAAGAGCACCATCCCCACCATCAAACATGGAGGTGGAAACATTATGCTTTGGGGGTGTTTTTCTGCTAAGGGGACAGGACAACTTCACCGCATCAAAGGGACGATGGACGGGGCCATGTACCGTCAAATCTTGGGTGAGAACCTCCTTCCCTCAGCCAGGGCATTGAAAATGGGTCGTGGATGGGTATTCCAGCATGACAATGCCCCAAAACACACGGCCAAGGCAACAAAGGAGTGGCTCAAGAAAAGCACATTAAGTTCATAGAGTGGCCTTGCCAGTCTCCAGACCTTATTCCCATAGAAAATCTGTGGAGGGAGCTGAAGGTTCGAGTTGCCAAACGTCAGCCTCGAAACCTTAACGATTCGGAGAAGATATGCAAAGAGGAGTGGGGCAAAATCCCTCCTGAGATGTGTGCAAACCTGGTGGCCAACTACAAGAAACGTCTGACCTCTGTGATTGCCAACAAGGGTTTTGCCACCAAGTACTAAGTCATGTTTTGCAGAGGGGTCAAATACTTATTTCCCTCATTAAAATGCAAATCAATTTATAACATTTTTGACATGCGTTTTTCTGGATTTTTTATGTTGTTATTCTGTCTCTCACTGTTCAAATGAACCTACAATTAAAATTATAGACTGATCATGTCTTTGTCAGTGGGCAAATGTACAAAATCAGCAGGGGATCAAATACTTTTTTCCCTCACTGTATGTCCTGGTCAAAGTCTTCAAAAATCAAAGCGATTTAATTTGTTGTTAACTTTTGAAATATTGCTGCATCACAGAATCATGTCACAGTTGCTATTTTTCATATATTGCAAGATAACGATTTGATCATTATAGTGAGACATGATTAACACGAGCCTCGGCAACTTTGGTTTATTAAAATGATAAGATCATAACAATTACTATGAGTATATAAACAAATAATTAATCACAAGCACACCCGAACATGTCTTATGATCTATCGTAAATAAGCAAACAAAACGTGTCAGCTCGGTGAATATTAACATTGTGCTATCATTAATATAAGGCACATGGCATTAATGCAAACGCACCTTTGAGAACATGAATAATGCATTTGCCATTTAAGACCATAAACAGGTTTATTTTTTTATCTTAACAGTTGCATTAATTAAACTTATAAGAAAGAACATCTGTTTGTTTACATTGAAGCTGGTAGATTTAATTTATTTTGCTATCACTCCCAGACATATTTTAAGCTGCAGTCTGCATATTCCAACGTCCCCAATCATATCTAAAACTAAACTATGCTCCTTTTATTTTACTGGGTAAGGCCCACAAATGTTAGCTCAAAGAAATGGTTTATTATGTGGAAATGTATAGCAGCTAAAAATACTGTAAACGCATGTTTCATTGGGATTAATTTTTTGATACACAATTTATAATCTAGGTGCACACTGCTTATTATTGGCATTTTCATAAGGTCACTGAGATTTTAAAAACAACAAAAAACCTACCTCAACTTTTACCATTAGACCCAACACTGCAAATGGGGGAAACATATAACTGGAAATATACAACGGTACAATTACTTTAATAACTCAAATAAATGTCGCATATATTTTCATGGAGCAGGGCTGAAAATTAAGTATGTCATCTGAATGAAATGCAAAAAGCAAAAAAAAGTCTACAATAAGCAATGTTAAGGTAAGAAGGTAACAGACAATTCACACGTAGCACAGGGAGATGTTCTAGTCGTGGAGAAGACAGAACAAAAGCTGTAAACGATGCAAGTGATCAGAACGATATTTGCTCGAAAAGTGTCAATGCAATAAGAATGAAAAACACGCGTTGGCAATCGCGAATAATGACGCTGATTTCAATTTCATATCATATTCTAGCTCACATAGTTTATACAGAATCAGAATATATATATTTATACTGGAGGAATCCGATGAGCTATAAAGCTATTTTTCACACATGTCCAGTCGGGGCGGTTAAGAACGTTAAAACAACAAACAATACAAAAACGTGATCGGAGTGCAAGGTACAAGAAAGGTTATAATCAAATCACGCAAACACATACAAATAAAACTAAACCATCCCCATCCTACCAGACAAAGCCCACTGAGGTGTGAACCTATTGTTCAAAATGACCTCGCCACAAATGAAGGCTTACCATTTATAGCAGCAAAATAATCTAAAATGTGGAGAGAAAAACCGGAGGCACTGGAGAAAAAAATCCAAGCGACCACAGGGAGAACATGCAAACTCTAAATATACAGGCGCCAGTGTCCGGATCGAACGCCCACCTTCTGCATACCAGGCGTGGAAGATAACATCCCACCACAGTTGTGAACGTATAGATGCCAACATTGACTCTAACAAATACTGCAATACTTACAATTGAAGCAACCGTATATTGGTAACGTTCCAGCATTGCCAATAACATTAAACGCTGCCGTTGGCGTAAATGCGTTTCAGATCGACCAGTGAGAGCACAATGAAAGGCACAGAGTTCTACAAGGGTTACTCGAACCAAAGCACTTGGAATGCAGCAACAATCCTATTCTTTATTTTCCTCTAATGAAGGCACACTTTAGACACTTACAAAATGGTTAAAGTGCAGTTGAATGGTACAGCCACTGCAAGGTTTGGTGCTCTTATTTCTTTACAGTGCAACTGGTGGCACGCTGGCCCGCGCTATATGAACACTCAGCTGCACATACAATGTTGCAATCCACCAAGCTTCCAAAGATGCTATTAAATAGCTTATTCATGTCAAATGTCTCACTGCCATATGAAAGAAGAACTCAGTTGTTTAACTATAACTGTGACTGTGATGCACACTCACCTGTGAACCCAGGTATGCAGAGGCAGCGGTAGCTTCCTTCAAGATTGATGCAGGCCCCACCGTTTTCACAAGGCCTCAACTCACATTCATTGACATCCAATTCACACAGCGGCCCATAATAGCCGGCAGGGCAGTGGCAACGAAATCTGTCAAAAATAAAGACAAAGCACCACACAGCATTTTTTGCAAAGCCAAATGACCGTGATTGTGGAGAAGCAGGCAAATGATAGTTGCTTTGGGTGATGTCAGCGAAAAGACTAAATGCACTTTTAGTATCCTTTATAGTAATACTTACGAAGCTACACTCGTCAAATTCAAAATACTGCATGAACCTAAAAAGTGCGACCAAAATAACTAAAAACAATTCCTTTATACAAATCACCAACAACGCTCCGACCAGAACACATCACGCACGGTCATTAAGCTGCATGCAGACGAATGTGTATACGGTTATGGCTAACCTTGTGTAGGAAACTAGAGATGTGATTAATAAGATTGGGCAATTTAAGACGCTATCCCTGTAAGACATTGTAAAAAGTCAAATTCATGTGCATGTGTGCGCTCGCAATTCAAGAGCTCTGTGCAGCATGTATACTCATGTTGTATGGAGTTCAGTCCATATGAAAAGGCTCTCCCGACAATCTAGAAATTCGATTCAAAATGTAGAACATGTGTTCAAGCATGAGAACACATCTGCTGCACACAAAACTCAAAGAAAGGGCAGTTCAAACTTCAGAAAATTTGCCATTGAAGTAAAACAAAATGAAGATAGAGTATAACGTACAGCAGGCTGTCTTAGAAACCAGGTTACCCAAGTTAGATTCCAAGCCACAGATGTAAGAATCAGCCCTGAGCTCCCCCCTTCACCAAAAGTGACCAGTTTTGCAGAGTATGGTCTAACAATTCTTACGACTGATGAAACATGAAAATAATTATTTTACAAACTAGGCCCAGATACAGACACACACACATAGTGACAAATGTGTCCATACAATTACTATAACCAAGCAGTCACTCACACCCAGCACGTTTGAACTTTACCCAGTCAACATACCTGTTGTGAAGATCAATGCAGGTTGCGTTGTTTTCACAAGGCATAGACTCACATTCATTGATATTAACTTCACAAAAGGTCCCAAGAAACCCATCAAAACATAAACACCTAGAAAAAAATATTTCACAAAGTTAGTGTGAGCGCAGGCGTTGTAATAGGATGTACAGTGTACAACAAGCTGTGTTATCTCAGAGAATAGGTGAGTCGCTCAATGCTAAAAAATTAATAGCTCCCTGAATTAGCATTATTCTACGTGCTATTGTGTGAGTTTACTCTACCATTTGGTATTTCACAATGAGAACACTTTGTACAATTGTCCTTTAGAAAACAATAGTTGCTGGTACTCAACTACTGTTGTACAATAAGTCAATTAATACACAGACGCAGAGGAAGCACATTAAATAGAACAATACAATTATGGAATAGAATTACGATGTTTTTATTTTCTGTGGGTTTTTTTTGTTGGATGCAGATGGTTCTTTTTACTGTGTCCACGAAATATTTATTTTGAATGCCACAGCATTATTAAACAAAATATTGACAAATGTCTTGGGTTGTTCTTGTAAAAAAATAAGCCTGGCGTAACAAGCAGGTTATACTATCAGTATAAATTGCCAAAGATATTAAGATGTCTGCTGTTTGCTCCTGTGTGTTAATGGAACGTTTTTTTAAAAAAATAGCATAGAATATATAAATACGTGCATACATCATTGGAAAGTTTTAAACTGTAATAAGGGAATGTATTTCTCAAGCAATTATCTTTAATAAGCCACATTGTGTTCCCATTACAACAGCACCAATCACGCAGTATGATTGGCATTCCTTTTTCTAGAATTAATAGCTTCATGACTGCCTTAAGCACATACAGTAGGAATATACAGCAGCCTTTATATTCTCCCAATTCACTACATATCTGAAACATAAACTTTAAACAATGATGAATAAATACATTTTGCCTATTCATTACTCCATGTACAAAAGAGGCAATTCCACATTCTAATGGACCCTCCATGTAAACCACTAATGACTTCCTCGAAAATAGTACTCTTTTTATCAATACTAGAGGTAATAACCACCCGGAATGGGATTTGAGCCTGTAAATGCAAGGTGTTCGATCTCATCATAACACCAAGCAGCTGCTTAGGTGGTAATGTGGCTCAGCTTAACTTGGCAGAATTTTCAAATCAAGTCCTACCAAATTTCGATTTAAAGCTTTCGTGACTGCAAGGATTCATCTTCTTTGGTTCTTTCGGTAAAGTCACGTAGAATGAGAATGAAATAATAAATTGATAAAATAAAATAACACAATGATATTCTCACGACGTTTCGGCCAGAACACAAGCGGCCTTCATCAGGTGAAGGGACGAGACTGTCTTCACCTGATGAAGGCCGCTTGTGTTGTGGCCGAAACGTCGTGAGAATATTATTGTGTTATTTTATTCTCATTCTACGTGACTTTACCGAAAGAACCAAAGAAGATGAAGTCCTACCAATCAAAGGGTGCCCCTGACCGTTACTTGGCTGTACGGTGGATCATGACGTCATCACACGACCCACATGCCCGGAGTCACGGCGCCAATCCAAATTCTGCCATGCGACTCCATTGCTGTTGCGACTCATGCCGACCAGGGGCAATGTTAAATTCCTGTCCAGTTCAGAACGAAGTGAGGAAAGCTGTTTTGATATAATTGCCATGACATGCAGAGCCGGGGCGCCAGAAGGTCTACACACTTACTCAAAGCCGTTGGTTCTGTCTTTGCAGACTCCGTTGTTCTTACATGGTTCCGATAAGCACTCGTTTTTGTCCGACTCACAGAGATCGCCATCAAATCCTGCCCGATGAAAAAAAAACACGACCAACCACGGCGTTAGCAGGCGTGGGAGTTGAGGATGGCAACAAGGTGGTTGCATGCAGCCTTCTTGCATCTCTGGCTTGGTGCAATTGATCAGGGCAGAATATTATCATCATCCATCAGTTTCCAGCAGCACTTAACTCACGACACTGATGACCATAAAAAAAGGTTTTTTGGTTAGATCACGTAAATATAAATGTCGTAAACCCGCCACCACCCGACACAGCCAATTATCTGGTTGTAGTCATCAGCGAAACGTCGTACTCAAATCGTAAATGTTGTGGTTTTACTCTCCAACACACCGGTGTGCTGAGGTGGTAACTAATTGGCACGTTTTACGTCACAAACATTACTAATTGGCTGTGTCGGGTGGTGGTGGGTTAATTACACATTTATATCTACGCGATCTAACACAAAACTGTTTTTTTTTTGTGGATATTGGTCACGAAAGCCTACAGTGTTAAATAGACACTGATCACACAAATGCATAAAGCAGATTGCCATATCCTGAAATTGCTCATGAGGATTGGGCAAACAACTTTAAAGGGAATATGGTTAATTCTAGATTTGAAGCTTTCGTGACTGCAAGGATCCATACTCTTTGGTTCTATTCGGTAAAGTCACGTAGGTAAGAGATAAAACAACAAAAATCACGACGTTTCGGCCACAACACAAGTGGCCTTCATCAGGTGAAGGGACAAACTGTCCAGCGGACAGCGTTGGAGTGAAGAAAGCCAAGCGCAGGTCGCCTCCTTTTAAGCTGAGGGGGTAAACAAAAAACGCCTTGACAAAGGAAATTAGCATAAAACACACCACTAATAACGCTTGGAATTAGCACAAGATGATAATACACCACCCTGGAAGTTTGGAATGCCACCACCTGAATAAATATACTGCACCACTGAAAATTAGTTTAATGTTCGGTTCGATTTAGAACATCTTTCCAATGGTTGCTTAACTTGAAACCATCTTCTCGGTTGAAATTGTGTCTGTGTTTGTAAACCTGAATTGCCTCGTGGATAAATCTCTGATGATAACCTGTCGGTTTGCAAAGGACCTTGGTATCGGAGAAAATTATATCGTGATCACCCACAGCGTTGTAACAGTGATCAGCTACGGCAGAAGAATTCGTCCTGCCGTGTTTCAAATCTGATTTGTGCTCGCGAATTCGGTCAGAGACATGTCGTTTCGTCTCCCGGATTTAGCAATCACCACAGGTGCAGATCAATTTGTAAACCCCGGGGTACTGTAAGTCAGGAATGACATCCTTCACGGATGGGATCAGGTCACGGATTTTGTGCACTGTATTGAACCGGACCAGGATCTTGTGTTTGTTTAGGATTTTGGAGATCTTTTTAGTAACGCCTGCTATATATGGTAGTGTGATGGTTTTGACCGGAGTATCAGGTGGTTGTTTCTGTATGGAGAGAGAAACAGCTTGGCGGATGGTACGGTCAGAGTATCTGTTTCTCTTGAGGACCAGATGTACATGTTTTAATTCACTGGTCAGGTGGTGTTGGTTATACCCTGTGGTATAACGTTTTGATGAGAGAACGTTATACCACAGGGCTCATTACATTTCGGACCAACAAAACTGAAGTAGGGGTAGGGGGGTAATTTGTGCTTAGGACCTCCAATGAACCAGTACTACCACTGCCTTTGAAAAATTCTATCCTTTTTACAGATTTCATTATTAAAATACAAACTCTTCATCAACAACAACAATAATAGGAGTTTTCCCCTTTTTTCTGGCAACAAAACTGAAACCTTTTTACAAGGATTCATGTCTGCATTAACCACAATATCTGCAGTCAAAATGCAAACAAAACACATACTATGATAATATATGCATTGTCCTTGATACTGATTGGTCCACACCAAGGGACGGCTTTCTTTTGAGCCTCGACCCAATTGATGCTCGATCAGATGATGCCTTTTGGCGTCATATATTATCATAGTATGTTTTTTTGTTTGCATTTTGACTGCAGGTACTGTGGTTAATGCAGACATGAATCCTTGTAAAAAGGTTTCAGTTTTGTTGCCAGAAAAAAGGGGAAAACCCCTATTATTACATTTTGGTACTGGCAAAGGAGATCTAATGATGTAGACAACAACAACAACTTAACGTTTGAAGGCTGAAAGGGGTGGTATCATGACGCAGTAGTTTCTGCACTGCACCCTGAACCCAATTATTGGTTTATTTCCATTGCATGACATCCGCGATATCCCGAACAACAACAATAAAATGTAGGATTACAATAAAATTAGGAAAAAAACATGTAATGTTATTTTCTGCAATTGTGTGATTATTTTTGTGAACATATGAAGCGTATTTGTATTCATGCCTAAACGCTATTTGGGGCTTCTCTGCCGATCACACAGCTTGAATGGAATTTAATCAGTTAGTATCAAAAAGCAACACATTCCACCCGATCAGTTTCGGACAGGTTCTTCAACACAAATGATATCTGTACATGTGCAATGTTGACACGGAAAAGCACCGACAAATTCTCACACTGCTTCTTAAACACAAAATAAAGAACAAAAAATGTACATTCACTGAAATACGGCAATAGCATTCAATCATAATTTTCACAAAATTTACTTTAATGTGTTTTTTCAATGTAATAAAATGCATAAGTTGGCAAATTATATTCCTAAAATTCAATGTTTTTTTTTATCAGTGTAATTTTATATTTCGGACCTCATCTCATTTGCATAGATATTTTCTTGCCACTCAAATGTTTACACAAATTTGAGATACAAGTACCTCAAACCTGATACGATGCCTCGATCATTCTTCTAGTTAAGCACTGTAATATATCGACTTGAACTACAGACCAAGCAGCCTCTTATCACACGTGCATCTATCGTTCATGAAGATTGCAGGACACGGTAGTGTGCTGGAGAAATCGGAAGTTTCCACTTCATATGCTGCGGTTTGGACTTAGGGGTCATTATGTTGAATCTCTGTCTCATCACCGGTAATTAAATATCTCTTAAACCTGTCCCAGACTGTCCTCATTAGGTCAAGACTCTTATATGGCATTTTCAGACACTTCCTCTTGTTCTCGCATGCCTTGTTATCACATGTTAATTCCCAATTTAACACCCTCACTGCTGCTCCTGCATGGCTTTGATCTGCCAAGAAAGCTTTGGTGGCTCCTTCAACCTCTCCAGGACAACAACTGGTCGCTGCACAACTCTCTTCCACAAAGATGACCGACCAATGCAACTACTCCCATCCAAACTAGACAATGGACCACATCACGAACAACTTGCATATTATACCCGCTCTCCAGAGGACTGAATGGTGTTAGTCACGCGACTCCCGAAGCTGTCACGTGGCTCACAAACTTAAACCAGTATGTATAATTGACATGTACTTGGCATGTGCTAGAAGACGAATTCCCAAATGGTCGTGCAATATCTCCCCCCCCCCCCCCCACTGATCCGAACACAGCTTACCCAGTAACACGGTGTCTTCCAAAAACCCATCATGCACTGCCTCAATGTGCTCCTCACTCACCACAATCGGCAGCCACCCTATCCTGGGGGTCACCTTCGGGAGCCTTTTTTGCTCTGCGAAAAGAAAATCTGCAGCCGACCTTTCAAGTGTTGCACATGTGATGGTGCTTTGTCACCATACACATTCAACACAGTTTTGTAACTTTATTTTCTGGCACAGTGTACTCTTGCGATAACGACAGCTCGATGCTTGATTTTTTTCTTATTTCAGCACTCCACCGTGTTCTATCTTTAATAGACAATGTATAAATAACGAAAGAACAAACTATCCAGAATACTGTGCCCTGACTGTTTGAGTATACTCAATAAGGATAAAAAGTAGGCACACTTCAAGTAGCTGATCAATGGTTATGTCCTTTTACATCAGTCCTGGAATGTGTTGTACCACTCTTATATGGAGGCTGTGCCTGCATGCTGTAGTCCAGCAACCCCTAACCCCACAACTAAGAGACCCCAATAGGTGCAGGCAGGCAGGCATGGCTGCCTTTCACCGGCTGGGCCACTGCATCCATCGCTGACACGTTGCCCCATGCCATGCAGCCATCCCTGGGAGGTTACCACACAAACGTGGAGTCGACCCTTTGTGCCACCCAGAAATTTACAATTTTTACGTCCACCACGAATAAAGCATCTACTGCTGTGTTTCATTAACTGAGTATAGAACACATGGTCGCACTAAACCCAATACCCCCCACCCCCCCCCCCTTGTGCTTGCAATGTGGGATGGGCAGCATTATGAGCAGGGAGTCATTTGAAAGTATGATGGCGACATGTTGTCATGGACGAGCAAATACAAATGAGTATGAAAAAAAATAGGTGTTACCCTTTCTGGCAATAAAACAAATGTGTTAAGATGTTCAAACACCAAATAGATACCTTTGATACTGCTAAAAAGATCCAATTATACAGATGAATGTTTAATACGTAGGCTTTCGTGACAAATATTATCCATAAATATCATACTCGAATTGTAAATGTTGTGGGTTTACTCTTAAACACACCGGTTGATGCTGAACTTTTATATTTTATATTCACGAAATCTAACCAAAAAAACCCTCTTATTATAGATGAGTCTCAAAAGGAAGGATCATAAACTATCCAATTTTGAGCACTGACTTGAACACCGTGGAGCTCTTTTGCATGATCACTAATGGTCCATAGAAAGATCTGGTATTATCGAATGGACCAATTTACAGTATGACCTCTTACTGCTATCCATCACTCTTCTTATTTCCTTTTCCTTTCACTTTAATATCTCCTACTCTTCCCTTTCCGTTCTTTTCCGTTAAATGTTTCTATTTTGTTTTACCAGGTGAGGCCCACTGAGCTGTATAGCTCTTTTTTTTTAAGAAACCTGGCCACAAACGATAGCTCTCTGAAGTGGCTTATTACGTGGAAATATATAGCAGCCAAATACACGAAATACATGTTAATTTAAATGTGGAGGGAAAAACCGGAGCACCCGGAGAAGAATAATCCACGCAACCACGGGGAGAACACGAGAACTCCAAATATACAGGCGTCAGGGTCGGGGTCGAACCCACAACCTCCTCCATACAAGACGAGGTATTTAACATCTTACCACCGTGTTGCATCCTAGATCCATAACTAAGGGTCCCCCTATTGTTTAGTGGTTATACCAATCGTCTGAATGCAGTGTATCCTGGTTCTGTGCTTTTCTGCATTTGTTGTTGTTGAAAATATAAAGACAAAACATTATACAGATGGGCCTCCAGTCGTGATAATGGTTACTCCCTACTGAGTCGTGGGATCCTCGACAATCATAGCATGTGTTTACAGCCCTCTGTCAATACACGGCTTGCATGAAGGTCACCCCATGCCATATCGGTCATGGACAATGTTTGACCATCCCAGTCAGTGGAGGTTTGTGAAGGGGAGCTCTGGACGGGTGCAATATATCACTCGCCAGTGATGTTAGGTCGGGAATCGAGCTTATGCCACCAGATTCATAGTGCAGTGTGTGAACCCACTGCACCATCATTCCACAACCTCCAGTAGGCCAATGCAAACCCACAACTGGGTCATGACCTGGGTAATCTTAGGTATTACAAATTACAGAATTTGTCTCCGGCAGTGCCATTGACTACTCAGAATAGGGTAGTGACAATGGCATCCACAACAGGGTAGTGGGAATTGGGTAATCATACCATTACCAAAATGATATCGAGTCTCGAGTAGTGACAAATAAATCCACTGGGCAGTGTGACCCCGGGTAATGATTGCAAATGAGCTTGCAATATCCGGCGGCACGGCAAACACTAGGAGACCATTAGCCACCATTAAATATCCTACAATGTACCAAACATTAAACGACAACATGAATTCTGATGAGCTCTGACCTTAGACCATGAAACCCGCTTATTTAAGTACACCAAAAACGTCACCCATTGAGGATTTTACCAATCGCGACAAATTGACTGAGGTATACAGTTTGCTGATCGCGCCCCTGTGGCTCGACCAGAACACACACAGTTTAACACGTAGGCTTTCACGACCAATATCATCGATTTTACAGGGTTTGTTGGGGTATTATGGCAGAACGCACACACATCAAGTCTCCCATATGCAGCCCAGCGTCGGTCCCAGGTCACGTGAACCCATCATCCAGTGAGGAGGAAGTGAGGTTCAGATTTTTCTTAACGTTACTCCCCCCCCCCCTCCTCATTATATGTATTACTGTACAAGTCATATTTAACGCTAAAGAAATTTGAAAATCGTCATTTCCGTGAAAAAAATACTTCACGTTTGGCTTAATTTTTACTTTATTGAAAGGAGGGGGTGTCGTATTCCGAAGTGTGAGCCAAACCCCATGCTTTCCCCATTTGCCTTTGAATTTGCGGATTGCGGATTTGCCAATTGCAGTTATTTTCAAGAACATAACGCCCGCGGTGGGCAAGGCTTTGGTGCAATGACGAGCTGGGTGCTCGTGCGTTACCGGGAGGACACTCGCAGTGCGCCGTGCCATCGGAGAGGGTAAGACAGCGTGCATTCTTGTGGCAGGGGTTGTGACTGGAGCCACAGGGATCGCGTGGATCCTGGCAATGCGAGCCAGCGTAGAAGGGGCGACACCGGCATGAGAACTGTCCTGGTGCCCCAGGGTCTGAGCACGTGCCGCCGTTCAGGCAAGGACGCGACGCACATTCATCGATGTCTTCTGTGCAATCTTGGCCTGCCCAGCCATCTGCGCACTCACATCTCGAGCACAAAACAGGCGAATGCAAAGGTTCCACGTGTGACAATGCTGTGGCTGTGTTGGGTGGTAACACAATACAGGTTTGCACATTTCTGTGATCAAATTACTTAAAAAGCAGCGACCACAAATCCCGTAATTTTACTGCTCTATTGTGATTTATGGTGATAATCAGTTGTCTTTCGAGTGGAAATAATAATTGGATTATTTAAGAATTCTAAATCAAGACCACCTTATGGTGGCTGAAGGATGCTAGATGATGCAAACATTCGTGCATCATCAAGAAACAGCTGGAATAATTTTTATCTAGTTGCTTTTTAATTTAAATATATACACCATGCAGGTCTTCCTAAAAAAAGAGTCGTTGGACTCAGTGGGGCTTTCCTGGATAGATGAATATAATACATTCAAAGAATGTGCGGTTATAATTTTGGGCTGTACATACAACTACTAACGCATGAATAATGCTAACAAACAATGTTTTTTTAAGAATTAAGTTAGGACTGCACATGAAGATAATGTCTCTTACCGGTAGTCATTGAAGAGGTCAAGGCAAACACCGTTGTTGTGGCAGGGATTATTTTCGCAATCATCTGCGTCTCGTTCGCAAAACTCTCCAGTCCAGCCAGGCTCGCACAAACAAACGTAACTCTGTAACCAACAGCAGCAGGATGGCGTTGGACACATAGAGAATGGTGAGCACTCACCACCATCACACTTTTGCAATGTGTTTTTACACATGCCTGAGGATTTATGATAAAATAAATTTAAATAAGGGAAACCCAGAGAGATAGTAGCTTAACTTGTAATTACACATACAATAAACATCATGATTATCTGTATATAACTAGGCCCTAAATACACATTAAGGCCTAGTCCAATGGATTCGGAATGAAACTGTAGATCGCAATATCTGTCTGTGCACCAGCCTTTGAAATGATACATATATATTGTCAAGAAAATTGCCTATCAAGAAAGTGTTTTACTATTCCAAGAACAGGGAGGGGAACAACTTGATGTGGGCTTACCTCGAGAGCATGAAAGTTGATCATTGTTTTTTTACCCTTTTATCTGGCAACACAACTGACACCTTTTTTACAAGGAGTCATGTTTACATTGACCACAATACCTGCGGTCGGAACGCAAACAAAAAACAACAACTCTGATAATGTATGTGGCACTGTCCTTGAAATTGATTGGTCCACACCCGAGACAGCTTTCTTTAGAGCCTCGTCTCACATGGTGTTGGACCAGAAGACGCCAAAAGGCGGACAACTTAAAGACAATGCACCATCAGAGTTGTTTTTGGTTTGCGTTCCGACCGCAGGTATTGTGGTCAATGTAAACATGACTCCTTGTAAAAATGGTGTCAGTTTTGTTGCCAGATAAAAGGGTATAAAACAAATGATCATATTTTGTTACTGGCAAATTAGGTTTCCAATGGTGTAAATGCTTGAACCCGAGCTCTCATACTCTGATGGTGCATTGTCTTTGAGTTGTGCGCCTTTTGGCATCTTCTGGTCCAACACCATGTGAGACGAGGCTCTAAAGAAAACTGTCTCGGGTGTGGACCAATCAATTTCAAGGATAGTGCATACATTATCAGAGTTGTTGTTTTTTGTTTGCGTTCCCACCGCAGGTATTGTGGTCAATGTAAACATGACTCCTTGTAAAAAAGGTGTCAGTTTTGTTGCCAGCATGAAAGTTACAATTACTATGCAAAAAATATGTGATGTTAGCAATAGCTGCAAGACTGGTCTATGTCATCAGAGGCGGGTTCCCCAAGCCACCTGGGCAAAACTATCCCTAAATTTAGGATCGTTGCGTGTGAAAGTGTCATTAGAAATAACCAACATTAGAAAAAGTTAAGTCACCGCTTAAGAATACAACATTTCTACGAGCAATGGGATAAACAATCAAGGTGTGCATTATTGCCAGCCTTGTTTACACGATAAAATAAATAATATACAAGAATAAATACCTCTATATTTTACAATTAAAAACAATCATGTATGCCCCTTTTCAATACCCTGCTATTTGGTGGCCTCCCCCATGCCATGTAAGTCATGGGGCGTTGTTTCACCATATTTGACCATGCTTGTGAGTGTGGGTTGGTGATGTCGGTGACCAGAACTTGTTGAGTTACTCATTCTCCACTCATGTTAGCCATGGCCTGAAATCAAACTCAGGTCACAGCGGTCCTTGTTTATATTATTACGTGAAAAAGAGTTTATTTCGCATGATTGTTCACCATTAAAAGGTCCTACAGCTTGTTTCTGACATGTTATGTTCATTCAATTGCCTATATTTTTACTGACTTTCATCTATAATTTTTGTTTCATTACATAACTTTGACCACACATGCACAGGCATATTCTCGTATGGAAGAAAAACAATCCTTTAATGAACAACAAACACCGGGTGCTTTTGGAGGAAAGAGAATCAACGTTCGAACAATAACACAAAACCTACTGCTTTTAGAACAAACCATCATCTTTCCCATACCCCCCTGAATTAAACCTCCAATCTACAATTCTCTAACCCGCTTCTACATCTCTATTCCAATTATAGGATAATAGCATCGGAATCCACACTTAACACAAATTGCTATTGATTCTTCGGTTTATAAACAAGGCATCAGTTAGAGGAAATGCATTAGGTCCACGCCAGACATGGCCGACCGTCAATATTTAGCCACAGAGTGAAGCGGCCTTGATCCTACCTCTAGCTGAGAAAAAAATAACACCCGATCAATTTTATCAACACGGGCTGTCAATGCGTTTTTTTCCCTCCTACAGGGCATTTTAGAATCTTTTAACAAACTCTGCAACAAACCTCACGAGGTTTTGAACGGCTCAGAGAGCAACTTGCCTTGGGCTGTTATGTCATTACAAATCAAGCTTCACAGGCAGTGCCGCACGGCTAACTCTCCAGAGGGGGGTCCAAGACTGCGTGTTAAATCTTACTCGTTAATTGGAACTTAGCCGTACTCACGTATTACACGCGCAAAGAACTCCGTCTTAAACATGCATATCAGTTATGTGACTCACAAACTCTCCCTGGGATAGAGCGATCGGAAGTATGTTAAACATCACAAGTTCATAATTTGTAGCTTAATGGGTTCTCTTTTATAATTCCTGTTGCCAAGATGTGAGAAAAAAAAAATTTCAATGACTTGAATATTTGTTTTTATTAGCTCAAAATTTCCAAGGGGCATCCCGGTGTTTTTCAACAGCCTCTACAATTACTCATTGGGTTTTTCGGTAAAGTCACGTATGTAGAAATACAATAAAATTATATTAAAACAAAATACAATCACGACGCTTCGATCACAACGCAAGCGATCTTCATCAGGTGTCAAGAACAAATCACGGAGGTAAATACAACAAAAAGATGAGAGATGAGAATTCAACAAACCTGAAAAAACATTATGTGAAGCACATCCAGTGAGGCCAACAACACAGTTAGACACTTCCTGGCGGACCACGAATTTCAGAAGAGAGTTAAATTTCGTGTTCAACCTTTGGATTGCACATACCAGCATAGATAGAATGAAAAATACGAGGTACACGGTCAGCAGAAATACATATACAAGTCCACCAAGAGGTAAGGAGGGAGGAAAGACTGACAGGGAGGCAGAGAGAGAGAGAGAGTGGGGGCAGCTCAAAAAATTACCACCTCTTGTAAATACAAAACGGCAGCTCAAAAAAGGGCACATCTTACACATAATTACAACGGTAACTTCCCCGTAGAAGTGTGATAATAAAGTATTAAAGCTTTCGTGACTGCATAATACTTTAGCCTCTACATTTACCTGGCCTCTTTACGTGATTACGATTCAACTCACGCATATTTGCCACAACAATGTTAAAAGCGTGTTACTGTTCAAAGAAATAACGTGTTTTAATTGTCGTTTCATACATTAGTTAACAATACACATTCACCGTGTAATGATAAATCAGAAGGTAACATTAATATTGCATCCTTTATCCAGGAAATGCGGCACCAAGTCTCAAAATGTATCGGGAAGGTACTGTCATTTTCTTCATCAAAATGTCTACTGTATGTAGCTGATCCATCTCTATAAATATTTGAGTACATTCTACGTTTATTTCATGAATGTATTGGTTTGTCAGCGATTGATGACTGCGGCAGTTTTCAGCGAATAAAATTACAATGACTGACAAAAAAATCCATACTGATAGGTCAGCAACCTACGTTGTGTACTGCCATCATCCACTTGTCTCCAAGTCCTGTAGGTTGGGACAATTGTTTTGGTGATCCACAAAACCTGCCCATAAAATGTTTGAATTGTGGAAATCAGACACTATTACATCAGGTGGTCTCACATGCAACTATATGCCGTGCTGGGTTATTGCTGCACAATGCATTTCATCCATAAAAGCGAACACGTTATAAAAATAAAAGGTTGTGGAATTCTGGTGAATATACTTTGCAACTTAATGTGACAAAAGTTTATTTTTAAGAGAGATAACATATAATTAAATTCCTTTTGCATGACAATTGTCTTGTTAATATGAACCTTGATGTTATAAACTATGTTATGAAGTTATTTGCTTGAGAATTAATTATCATACAACAACCTACTTTGTTTAACATTCACTGTTGCATAATTAGTGTACGATTATCCGTAGTTCATCAAGCTATTATTGTGTACTTACAAAACCAAAACTCTTTAAAAGTAAGTTACTGATGGTTAGAGTGGCCATGCACAGTTTAATGGTATGCAATTACATGGCTATTTTGTGATAATTGCTTCAAAGGGGAATGCATAATATGTGTAGTATGTTACTACAGTGCCTAAATGTTCTGCTTTTTAAAGTGGTGGTGGAATTGGGCTGTTTTATTATGGGGTTTGGGGTATTTTAAATCAACCCATGTCAGATGACCACCCATCATCTTGGCATTTATCACATGTGAACTTCTTTCTCACTTCTTTCTCACCGTACACAGCCAACCGCGCCAATCGGAGGTGTGGGGGAAGGACAACAAACTAAACGCAATGAGCAGTTTTAAATAAACGAGTTTGTAACTCCAGATGATTTAAAAGTGCAAATCTACAGTGGCTTCCTGATATTGGAACAAAGAGCATTCTAAACAGCCGCAAGATCACGTCTGAATGCGTGTGATGCAGTGACCGTCTTTACTCGATGACTATCATTCAAGAGTAGTTCACAAGTACAAGTTGAAGATAATGTAAAGATAATTTAAATATCTACTCCCAAAAATTAGCCGGGAAGATGCAGAACTCGACCAAAATGTATGGAGTAATTAACCAGATTCGAAATCAGGGCAGGTTGTCGGTAAAAGGAGAAGATACCAAAGAATGATTTGCAAGTTTTCCATTGTATTGAGGAATGAGAAAGGAAAACTCACATTAGAGCTGGCATGGCGATAATGAATATGTATTTTAATGAGTTTTCTTTAGAAGTGATTTTTGTGTTTAGTTTGTTGTCCTTCCCCCACACCTTCCGATTAGCACGGTTGACTATTTACAGAAGTTCAACATGCATACAAATATAAAATGGACATGGAGCAAACCAAATGTAAAAAATCGAATTTATGTCGTCTTGATTCTCATGGACATTGACAGAGATGCCTCGAGCCTCAACAAGTTCAACAGAGGAGGTTGGATCATGTGCTGGTGTAATGCAAGTAACACTTCAACACTGACAGAGAGGACAAAAGGAAATTACGTAAATATATTAGACTGTGAAAATCAAACATTTAGTTCAGGAGGTAGGCAAATGTAAGCCGCAGATTTACAAATCCCTCCTGTAAAAAAATGATGGTGCAGTGCAGTGAGCAGTGCACTGAAAGTGGGCAAAGTGGAAATGTGAATAGATAAATTATCTGAAAGCACAAAAAACAATGTTGAAGAATAGGAGTGGTGTGAATAGGGACAAAAATACAAAACAATACATGGAATACAAAGAACTTTGTAAAAAAAAAATACATTGCGAAGCAACGAGAATTGTTTTTTTTGCAAACACAGCACAAAAAAAAATATGATGACATGGTGAAGTGTATCTATAAATAATCCCAATAAGCTGGGGCCAATGGAGAAAAACATGAAACAAAATAATTAAACAAACTACGTATTAAATAACACTTTATATACAATACAAAAAATATATCAACCCAGTAATTTTTCGATGTTCTATTCTGCAATAAACAATGTCAACACTCCAAGCTCTACCTCAGGAATTTAATAATTATGGTCATTATGAAAGAGATGTGACCAGCCGATTGATACAAAATTAGCAAACCTGTTTACCGAACGTTTACACGGAAATAAAATACCTCAAACCGCGTTCCGCTGATGCCTCCACCATTCACGTGCGGTGTTCTGAATGAGAGGCGATGGTCTGTGTCAGCCTGATGCTGCCAAAAACAAACCCTGCACCCGGTGTTCTCCTAATGAGCTGCGGACTAACCAGGTGTCGATCTTCGCAGGTGGCGTTGTTCTGGCACCGGTGGACTTCACAGTCATCGATGTTCAACTCGCAAAGCTCTCCGGCATATCCAGGACTGCAGAGGCAATAAAAGCTGTCCAACGCTGCAGAGACGAACAGAAGACAATGTACATAGACACACACACACATACAAGAGATACAAACTATTTGCAGAGTCCACACATAAGTGAGCTTTGAGTGGTGCTCAACTGATCCCTTTTTAGACCCCTTTGTATACTTAGCACAACCTCTGTTAGAGGCAGGAAACCAATGTTGGCCACCAACGTATCACTATGTCGAATGCTCTGTGAGCAGAGTCTGTGCATGGAAACCCCCCCACACCTCCCCATGAAACCGACAAGAGCCCCATTGGCCACCATTACCATGACTTATCTGTTTAAAACGGTGACTATTGACTTCTTACAAGGGCATGATTACATTCTGGTGGTAATGGACATTTATACAACACTTTGTAGAAGCGTATGCCACAGCAAACAAATTCTGCCAAGACTTTAGCCAATGACCTGGAAAATCCGCCAATACGTTGGGAATTAACTTTAAAATAAAAAAATAGCCATATGATCCTTATGACGGTACCCCGGGGTACCAAATAAAACAAAATGGCCGAAGCAATTAAATATTTTATTTCTGGGACACTTTTTTTTCCCAGGGGTGTACTTCACTCTGCGACTGGGGTATCAATCAATCCGACATCAGTGCTACTCCACGAAACGCCAAACATTAGCATAAAAAATCCGTTATAGAAAAATTATACTTTGAATAGTGCATCGTGTACAGTTCATCGAGATGTGTCGATTGCCGCATCGCCGACCATCAACAGACTAAAAATGACTGCATCACGGACATTATGCGAGAGCCAGGGTACTATGGTACCTCGGGGTACCGCCATAAGGTTCATATCTATAATACAGGTTTTTTTTGTTAGATCGCGTAAATATATAAATGTGTCATTAAACCCGCCACCACCCGACACAGCCAATTAGTAAGGTGTGCATGATGCACAAATCAACAGGGCACTGATTACCAAAACCAAATCAAATAACAAGAGCATTGAAACTGACCAAGTAATTAAAACTATTAAAATACAGTACATTGTGGGAGTAACTGATAAACTATCCAGATGTTTTAAAAACAAAACATCCGAGCCAGATTTGGCATGATACATAAAATACAGAAATTAAAACTGGTATGAAAGATGTATTACCGAAGTTATCAACAGAAGGTGTGTACCGTATTAATTGCTCTTGTGGCAAATGTTATGTTGGGCAGACAGGACGAATGATCAGCACACAACTGTCGGCAGTGGCAAAACACACGTGCCAACAAGGACACTCAATCGATTTTGATCATACTGAAGTTCTGTGCATAACTAGTTACTACTGGCCAAGACTAATTAGAGAATCTCGAAATTGAGAGAATTTTTTTTTATAATTTTCACCGTTCAGATAGCTACAGACTTAGTGCTGCTTGGAACCGAATAATCTAATAATGCATTGTTTAAATGCATGTCTATACAGGTCACCAGACTTCAATGGGATTACCTGTAAACAGACAATAACAGGTTACTGCTATGTTAGTGGACACAATCGACAGGTGGTACAAGAATAACGGGCTTGCATAATGTACATGCATAATATACGTTGATTACCATATGAATAACCCGACCGGCAATGGATACTCATTCACATTTATATGCATTCATTAATGCCCCCCACTTCACTCAAGAAGGGCTCACAAGCGATATCATCACATCTACCCCTCTATTTAAGGAACAAAACAGGATTTCTCCACAAATCTGGCTGCCACCTGTAATTACTGGCAAAACGTCGTACTCAGATTGTAAATGTTGTGGCTTTGCTCTCCAACACACCGGTGTGCTGTACTAGTAACGAATTGACATGTTCTGTTTACGTGACAAACCTTACTAATTGGCTGTGTCGGGTGGTGGCGGTCTAACCCAAAAAAACCTGTATTATGGATGATATTGTTCACGAAAGCCTACGTGTTAAACCAACAGCCATATGCGATGTTAAAATAACTGTGTGGGGTCCTCGGTTACCAAACAACACCTTATCTGCAGAGTAAAGGCCAGGTTGAAAAATTCAACAGTAGCCGTGCAGAGTGCTTTGGCTGTAAGGCAGACAGCAGGCTTGAAAGGTTCTCTGGCAAAGGTTGTTGATGCATAAAATTGTACACATTGAAGCGACATGATGCTTGCCTTACTATCTGCTGTTTGAGCAATTCCTAAGTCTCCCCATCCACCTCCTGTTTAATCTAACAGCATGCAGAAGGCAGGCAATGTAAAAAAGACTTGTCACAAACTGTCAAAAAGAGTATAATAGAAGCATATTGTTTAATCTGGGAAAGCAGCTTATTATGACAGGATAATCCATGGAAATGACTTGTAGCCAGGTGGCATAGTCTTAATTCACAATCTTAACTGGGAGGGGGAAGACTGAAAAGGTTTGTTCTCACTTGGAAGCCAACGTCCATCAAGTAATAGGAAGGAAAGGTTAAGACAATCCAGTCTCGGGTGAATTCGGACAATGGCGGAGGAAGAAGTCTACTGCGGGAGAAATCGACGACGACTCCAAGTCATCAAAAAAGAGTAAAAGAATAGAGTAATCTGGAAGTCACAATGTAAGTCGGACTATGAAAGTGACTCAAAGAAAGAACATTAGCTGATTCACAAAGTGCCTAAAGGAAAGTGACTCAAAGGAAGAACACCAGCTGATTTACAAAGTGCCACAAAAAAGGAAAAATACTGTGCTCCCAAGATACGCAACTTGGGAATAACATTAAATAAAATAAATACTGAGAACTTCCTTGAGCCGGAATCAGCTGAGGAAGGAGTACCAACATAACATAATAACTCACAAAATAATCATGAGCGTCATTGTGGAAGATATAAGAAACATAATAAATAAGCAAAAAATAAAATTAAGCAAGTCCATATGCCTCGTTCTTATATCCATCCTCCTATATGAAAAAAAATAAAAGTATTTTTTACACATACCAGCAGCCACACCACCCTCTGGACGTGCATAACGTCAACAACATTGGCTCAATACCAGCCAAACTCTGGACCAGTTTGAGGTTCAGTGTCTCAGCAGCAGTCAAGCTTACTTAAACCAATGCTGATGTACTGCTAGATGTTCCTGAATAAGGACCCTCTCCATTAGACATGGATCCTTGTTTCAAGCAATACTGCGTTATGAGGAAACACAGGGGCAGTCACAGCGAGTCTAGGGATCAGGATCCTCAGGATGGATTGGAGGCAGATCACCTGTCTTATAAAGAGGGAAACCAAAATCCCGACTGTAAGAGGGATAATATTCGACAATAGAAATTGCAAATAAGGACTGATATACAAAGCTTTTGGACACCCTACGATTGTAAGTACAAAAAAGGTAATTGGAGCAACGGCACAAACCTTTTCCACCATCAGAATTTATGGATATCATAGAATGCAACAGGAGAACGGATTGCCTATTAGTGGTCTTAACAGATATTTCTATGGACATTTAAATATGTAGGGCTGCAAATATTGTTAAACATTTGTTTAGTTACGCCAGTAAGTCAATGCTTAATAAGGAAGGATAAACGTATTTCTAGGCTGGAATAAGGTGAAGGCCAACTATTGGAGGCTGGATACAGAAATTCATCCAGAATACGCATCACAGAATATTGAGAGTAGGATAGAAAAGAGAATTCAGTGTAACACAAGAACAGAAAACGTTAACCCGGTAGTGGACATCATGAGATGACCACGGCACATGTGTCCAGTCAGAAGTGTAACAGTTACAATTCAAAACATGCCCCGATACTTCGGGGTTGTTATATTTTTTGCTTCTTTTTTTCAGCGTCATGCGTCCCTTTGCTGCCACAGGCAACATCTGACACTACTGAGCCTATGGTTTCATGTGACTTGTGCTGATGGCTGGCTCACCGTATGGGGGGTGAGGGGCTCTGGGTGACCAAAGTCAAATTTCAGACAAAACGCCCATTTAGACCGTAGCCAGCCGACGTGCTGTGAAGCCGTCTGTGGTGGCATGAACAGGTTTACCCCCCCCCCCCCCGAGCGAGGCGGCAGCTCCCTGGAACTGTTTGCTGAAACCCCTTTGTAAATATCCATGGGCCATATCAACTGCTGGGTCCTTGAACTGTGTAGTCTTTGCCGTTGTCATTTTGTTGTGACTAATAGGTGAGAGTGGGGGTGCGTTGTGTAATATGCCACAGTTTTCTCTCTGTCAACGTTCAGTATGAATCATCACCTGGACACTTAAATCGAGGACTCAATGTTCTGCAGATTTTTCATCAAAAACGAATTGCCCATGTTATTATCTAGTCTGGGCAATAAAGTCATGCCATTTCACTGCAATCACTCTTTATTCGCTTGTCATTTGTGTATTATCGGAACGTATTTCGAAGACCGTCACTGACAAAAGAAACTAGAAATCTGGATCCTGCGATATGCTATCCCACCCAGCCAGGATTTTGTCAAGTCTCAAGCAGGTAATTTGTGAGGGAAAATAATGCATCATTGTATGTTTATTTACCTATAACAGACCTCATTTATGAGAGACAGAAAAAAGGTTTTAATATTCTACCATTGTATGTGTATTTTTTTTGCACCATACGTGCCCAACCGGTACTAATCGGAAGTGTAAATGTTTTTTTTTCTGGGCACTCTGGCTACCTTCAAAAACCCTGTAGTCCTTAGCACAGGAGGCTCCAGTAAAATTGTTGAGGCTCGGCAAGGCATCTTTCTGGTGAGTATCTCCCTGTTCATCTGCATTATCAGCCTTGGGTCAGCTGATTATATAATTTTTCTAATTCTATGCGTCATAATAGAATATTTACAATTCACGTAAATTATATTCAATGTTAAGCAATGCTAATGGGGAAATCAAAACCGCACAAAGTAGATTGAAAAAGAGCAATGCAAATGTGACGATAAACCTTTAGACAAAAAAAAACACGAAATATTTATTGCATTAAATCGTGGCCTCTGAATTGTGACAATGTACAAAATGTATGGGAGGGTGAATAATTACATGCCTAACTACTGTGGAAGGGATCC